CACCACTGCCTCATTGCAGTCGACGTCGGACCCAATTAGATCCATTCATAACTACTTCGGAGTACAAGCTTCCAAGGAAACTGAACTTCTTAAGTCCATACCGAAATATGAGCAGCACATAACTGAGACTATCGAGACTCCAATTGGCGGCGGCGCCAGCACCAATGGGCAATACAATGGCTTTGGTGGTTTTGGCTCCCAAACACAAAATCAGGTATTGCACGACATACCAGCGCCTCATTTGGGACCCACGCCGGCGCCAAATACAGCGCAACAATCGTATCAACAACAACAGCAATCCAGCTCAAGCTTTGCCAGTGGTAGTTCGATAAATACCCATTACCTCACAGCGGCAGCTTTGCAATCGGTAAAAAATCAACAACAACAGCAGCAGCAACAGCAACAATTCAGTAATTTTGTAACCGCACAGAATGGCAAACATTCCGCCTATTCGACGACGACGCCAGCTCCTCCACAGTATGCACAAACCACAGACGGCGAGAAGATCATGATTATAACGCCTTTACCACCGACGGCATACAATCAATATCGCACCACTCAGTACCAGCAGGAACCAAGTGCTACACAAGTGATTGCCAGTTTACCCTCATTGCAGACACAGTCAGCCACTAACTTCGTTCAGCAACCAAGGCAATCTGGTGTCGGTAGTTTGATCTCCTCAACCGTTTCCAACGCTGCTGCTAGCGGTTCATCCCAATTTGGTGTATCGACCTTCCACTCTGATGTCTTCAAAGAATTAGAACAGCGTCGCAATCAAGAAAAGTCCGCTGCTAGCCAATTTAGTTTTGGCTCACAGTCGGCATCAAGCAATGACAAGCCCTACCTACCCGCCATAGCAGTCAGTGCCAGTAACTCCAATTACGGTTCAGTCTCCACCGCAAGCAGCAGCACTCCCACTCCACCGATCACACATAATACTGACGCTACCAAAAATGAAGCTAAAGCCTCGCAAACACTCCTTCAATTGCCCGACGAGGTTCCCGACGACTTGCGGCAACAGCTGCTCTCATCCGGTATTCTCAACAACGCTGACATTTCCGTCTTGGACTACGATAAGGTAGGAGACGTCGCTTTGGAGAATCTACCCGCCGAGCATCTGCAGCACTTTTATGGAGCTGGTGGAGCAGCACAGATCTCCGCTTCGAAAAAAGTCGTCACGGTGGTCAAGCCGAATGGCGATAAGGTTTCGCTTAGCGAAAAAGATATTGAGCGCGTCAAGCAGTCGAATGCATTGCCTCACAAACAAGGTGTAGATGTGAAAGTGGTGCATTTCGATGCAGAAAACGAGAAGAGCGTTTCGGAGAAGTACATTAAGACCGATGCTACCGTTGTGCCACCTGTTGACTTAGCGGAACGTCAGTACAATCGCTATTTACCGCTTAAAATTAACGGTGCCCAGTTCCCTTTGCCTGATAGTGAGGAGTTGCGCGACAAGAAGATCGTGAGTGTTGTGGTTCTGGCTCCAGTTGAGGCACAACCACCCGCTAATGATAGCACTGAACGCCGTAATGAACGCGATGCCGCAACTGATGATAAGGAAGTGAAATTCATTGGTGGTGACCTTATCAAGACTTTGGTTAAGAAGCCTACAAAAGAGAATTTCAAGCGTTGGCTAGAAAAAGAAGCGCGAACGGATGTGGAACAGCAATCCGTGGTCCTACTAGTGGCGAAGTAAGTAAAACAACCAATACAAGTCGGTGCAATTTTCGACAATTCTTTATTTTCGATATCTTTATTTATATTCTTGAAATAGATCCAGCGATGAAGCGGAGCAGGAGATCTTCATGTACGACATATCAACGGGAGCAGTGAATAAATTGAATGGCGAACTGTCGAGTGCTTTCGTGAATGTGGCTGAGGAGAATGCCAGTTCAGAAGATTTGGAGCACGCTTCAACCTTGGACCCCAGCGTACTGGAGACCATGATGCAAAAGAGTCGAAGATGAGCGACAAGCGCTGCTTTCAAATGTGCCACCCAAATGTGCGATAATGCCATTTAAATAAATACATTTTCAAAACACTATCTGCCTGAGGAAAAAGCTAAAGCGACTCGTTAGAAGTCAAACCAAGCTCTTTAGAAAGCGGTTGCAAACGTCACTTACGAAATATAATATGCGGGGGATCTCACGCGATCTTCCTATGACTTACTTATGCTATTCTATAAGCTACCTTCGCCATCACTTCGTCCTTACTATCTTCATAATCTTCCGTTTTCTTCCGTTATCATTATTTTTTTTTCCTGGTAACGGTTCGCTGTGTTGCTCTTATTTCTTTTTCTCTGTCGGAAATAAGTACACGATTCGCTGGAATCTATGAAGTTTCCTGCTCTTCGGCTACTCTTCAACTTTTGTATAAATTTTATATTCTTTATTTAATTAATTATAGTAAATTTTTATACGATAAATATTTTTGTACATATGAAAATTAAAATTAATAATGAAAGAGAACTATATATGTACTGTCTCTTATACACATCTAGATGTGTATAAGAGACAGTTTTTATACGATAAATATTTTTGTACATATGAAAATTAAAATTAATAATGAAAGAGAACTATATATGTATGTTATGTAGTCTAAAAACTGTTAATAAAAATTACAAAACCAAATTTTTCGTCTTTCGAAATTCTTCAGGTTTCATATGAAAATGGGGCATGGTGGATAGAATGCGTAAGACACAACGAAACTAATAAAACCATAAAAAAGTTAACATATTTCCTTACTGGGTCGAATGTAACGGTAATAAAAGTTGATTCGTGCGTTAATTACAACAAATAATTAGTGCAAAGCGAAACGCAACCGTGTGTAATTCACCACGAAATTAAAGTTATCAAAGGGAAACGAATTAATTGAAAACAAATATTGAAGTGGCCTCGGAGTCGATGAGAGGAACTTTCAACTTCACAAAAGGGGTTTCGAGTGTCACAAATGCCTTATTTTCTATGCAAGAAGAAGCGCTTGTTTAAAATATATATATTTTCTTACAAAAAAAAAAATCTGAAACACAGTGGCTTTTCTGTAAGAACTGTCTTCTGCGCAACTATCAACGATTATGGAAACATTTTCACAATTTAACTTGCCTTGGCACCTCTGAGCTAAATCATTGTTCCGATCCAGATTTTCATACATATTATTTTCGCTCGCTCCCAACCTAGTATTGAGTTCACCTGAAGGCAATCGTGTGATTTGAACGAGGCTTTAGGACATGCCTCTACATATCCAGTGACCTAATTATTCGGAAAACAACCGATAATCACTCGTTAGTTCGATGCGAATTTAATGAGAGACGCTGCAACATTATCTTGTCAACAATAAACTCCATTGGACGCTCATTGTCTCTTTGAATATAAATATGTAAATTAGCTCGATATCCCACAAAAAAGGCTTATAAGATTTGACCGTTGTGTTATTATCGTATTTGATATGCTTATGGCTATGCTATGCTTTAAACCCGTTATCATTCAATATAAATGTTTGTATGAGCGTTTAGAACTATGCAAATAAAGGCAATAACTAATTAGCTGCAACGTGCGGAGCCACGGACTGCCAATCAACACGCTGCATTGGGTAAATAATAAAATTTATAGATGGTAGTTGTACTTCATTCCATCGCGGTGGCTAACCCGTGTGCTGTACGTACATATGTGCTTGAGTGTATTTGTGATGATTTTCTGCACTCCCGACTAGTTAGTCCTTGGAAGATTGTGCGTCCTTGATGAGTGTATTTATATATTTTTCTTCCCACATGCAACACTACCACAACTTAAGTAAATATGGTACATAAACATTATACGCTATTTGAATACCCCCATCTATAAAGCAGAAGAGCTCGCGGACATACCTACATACGTACGCGCAGATGGCATACCCATTTTCCGCCACCCATTTGTCCTGCAATAAAATTAATTACAAATTCAAACGAGTGTGTTTGCGATAAGGTCAGTGCCACTTAACGCACGACAAAGAGATAGGGATACTCGTCATTTGGCTAGTTAGAAGTTGGCGCTTCGCGTGAAGATATCGTTCCGGCAGACACGGAATACCGTTTCGGAAGTATATCAGCCTATCGTCTTTTGGTTTTGTGAATTTTGTGTTGCCTAAGAAATGTCAAAGTTTTCGTCGTGTTTTCGCGCGGTGCATACATTCTTAATGGGTAATTTTCATTGCCACGAGTTCGCTTACATCATTTATCCCTTCGGCCGCATATACAAGCTCCTGGGATTCGCACCAATTCAGTTGCGTCGCGGAGAAGTCTTGCGCAATGGCTGTGACCGAAAATTTCAATGGGACATCAAAGCCTGGATATGCAGCTGCCTCAATATAATGATTTACACAAGTGAATATTGAAAGTGCTTCTTTTTTCATTGAAATAGTGTGAAGTGGCTGAATTTATAATCAGTTCAAGGTGTATGTATATCATGCATACGGAAGGCAGGTCATGAAATTTTTTAGAGATCCCTAGTAAGGAACCCTAAATACTCCCATTGACTCACTAATTTTTTGGAGATCACTTCCACCTTGTTTAAAAAAAGACATCTGTGATGTAAACGGAAAATTTTAAAAAGTATGATTCAATTCTCATATAGTCTAGGCATGGAAGCAGTAGTCTCAAAAGTATCGAAGTCTTCAGAAACTCCGAAAAGTATGTGGGAAACATTTTCTTAACACATTTAATTAAAGAACGTATAAATTTGATTTCTAAAAATTAGTCGATGGATTAGAATTAATTGCTAAATCGTTGTCTACCATTTCTTGACAGGTAATTTTAAGTACAGAGAAAAAAGAGCAAAAAGTGATGGAAGACCGACAAACCCCTGAGTCATGTTCAGCGAAGTTAAAAAAATAAAACTCTCCTGAAGGCTTCCAAAGAGATTATAATGTAGAGAATCTATTCAAAACTAACATAAGTGTATTGTAGCGGGAGGGGATTACTGTTAAGGAGATGAAATGGACAAAATTCACCCTTCAAATTGTTCAGAATGCATATGCCAAGTTAATGATTCATTTTATTCTCTAATTTATCGTGAAACCTCTAGTGGGCTTCTGCTTAGGCATTCTTCGACTGCGGGCAGTACCTTATAAACATGGTGATGGCATTTCACGACTGACCAGCTGGGCACAAGTTTTCACACTGTTCGGTCTCGGTATCATCGCCTGGGTCACTGCTTGGACCCACATGGACGAGCAGTGCCGATTGCATGCGCTCATCACTAGAATTGATCAGCATCTTCGTGAAATAGACGACATACAATTTGACTATAAATCGCTGCGAAGACGACTCTTTTGGCAATTGGGTTTGCAACTGTTGATCGCATTTCCGTTGTCGATGGTGAATTGCATCATCATTTTGCCCAATGAAATGGCATTCTCCCCATTTTCGACCTGCTACATATTCATTTGTTTCATGCCCATCAGTGTTCTCATCTTCAAGCAGTTCCAATTCTACAATCTAATGCATGTCTTGAAAACAAAATTCGACTTGATCAATAAGAAACTGAGCAAATTCAACCGAGATACATGTTTCATCAGCGAGCGGAGGCATATAGTGACGGTGCGAAGAAGTAACTCGGTCAGTGAGGTGCCTCTGACCGCTGTGCCGACGGCTTCACAGAAAGCCGACATGATGAACGAGGAACCGAAGGCTGACCTCTTGCATAAGCTGTTGACCATTTATTCAAATGTTAGTGATGGCATCGACTTGGTGCTGCGCATCTTCGGGTGGCATCTGCTCTTTCTCACCGCCGTTTCCTTTGGCGTAATCACCGTCCAAAGTTATAATTTGTTCTCTCTGATAAGTCATTCTTTGGTGATATCCACCTATCACGTTGTATTCATTGTGTCTTGGATCCTGGTGCAGGTCATGGCATTCGCAGTGAATATCTTAATATGCGGAAAGACATCAAGAGTGGTGAGAGGAATTCCTTAAATATGTATTTTAATTAGAGAGCGCACCCTGTACAAATATTTAACTTTCAGATGGAGACGACTATTTCGATTTTGCACAAAATTCGCCTGTCTTCAAATGAGACCCCAAACGCCTGTGTCTTCTACCAAATTCTGCAGATTTTCTCGATGGAAGTCTTGCAGAGGAAACGAAATTTTAACGCAGCGGGCTTCTTCGACATGGACTACAAGCTGATCACATCGGTGAGTGTTGTTGTTGTATTACTGAATAAGAGTGTTGCATAGTTAGTTTCTCTCCTCATCTTCTTTCAGATTATTGCATCGGCTACCACTTATCTGGTCATTATAATCCAATTCCATTTGACTAATATACCGGATTGCCATTTCCCCAAATAAAAATTGTGTCAAGCACTGATGTTCAAGTTGCTGTGAAAAGGCCACACCCGCTGAGGATAGAATCGAGTTCCTGGAGCACAGAATAGATGTTTCTGTAACTCCTAATGCCACATTTAAGTGTTTAATTTCTTAAATGTTATGTTATCTTGAATAAACACGAAAAAGTTAAATTTCAATTAAGTGTAAGCAGACAATGTGAGTTGAGCTTTTCCTTGCATTCAAGTGCTTAAATGTTGCGCGACCGGGCAAAAAGCTCTTCATTCAAAAGCTTTGGTGTTTGCCTTGAGTAATAAGGCCTACTGCAGTGGTTTTCAAACTGTGGTGGTGTTAGCTAACACTTGCATTTCCGCTGATTCTTCATCTCTCCGTTTTCAAATTGTGATTGGTGAATGATTAAACGAGTTAAATGTTTCTTTATTAAAAGGCCATATATGTATGTTCAGTGGTGGAACGAGATATGGAGCTTTTATATCTTCAAGCAGACAATTCAGGCCGTTCAAAGTGGTGTCAGGGAATTGGAAACTTGCGTGTTTAAGAGTGAAAAAGGAAAAACGTTAGCTTAGGTTGCAAAGAAGCTATAATACCCTACACAAACTTAAAAGATTATCAATTGGATTTTTATCAGTCGGTTAGTATGACAGCTATATGCTATGGGTCCGCTCTGAATAATTTTTTCGGAGATTATACAGGCGCTTTGGAAAATAATCGGCCCCAACCTTCATGAAGATATCTCGTTAAAAAAAATTTCCTTTGACGGATTGAATTTTGATCTTTCAGTTTGTGTGACGGTTCCGGACGGTTCTAAAATTTATAGATCATGTTTTTCCGAAACTCCTAGCTTCTGTCGAGCGATCAAGCAAAAGCGTTATCGACACGTCCAGTCTTTCTTCTAGATCTATTGATCATCGCCTGCAGCTATTTTCAATTATAGGTATCCAATGGACTGCGCAAACACTTGTCCAAGCCGGGTATAAATAAGAAAAGAGCCAGAATTTCGGTGGCAGATCTGATAATGGCAAAGGTTGAGCCTAAATTAATATTTGTATGTATGTATTGAGCGGTCTTAACAAGAAAGCAAAGAGCGTTGAATCTCACCAAGAACTCTGACAGATTAGAGTAATCACCAAATTAAATACACTAAACATAAAGCGAACACTTTTCTGAATAAAATAAAAATAAAAACAAAAACGCTAATAAATAAATGTATGTATATATGTATTTATATATGTAACGAACCGCCGAATTGTGTCAAAACCAGTTTATACTTTGCAATTGTGTGCACAATCAGATTGGATGTGAATTTTACTAAATTTATCCCAGGAAATAGCAACAACATTAACGAGACTTACAAACATGCCTGCAAGTATAAGCGCGGATCTGGAGACGTGACTGATGGCGTGTATTTTGACCAAAGCTAGCGACTAGCTACACATGCACACATAAACAGACACACGTTTATGAACACGGGCTGTAAAATAATACAGCAAATGTAAGGGTACGGCAAGCGGACGGCTGAAAAAAGCTTCTGGGGTGATGAACGCTGAAGAAGGCTCGATCCTGTCAAACTTAAAGTTTGAATTTAGTGTTAAGCAATTCATAGGTTTCCTTGAAAAATTGAGGTTTATAATAAAACCAAAAAATTTCAGTTTTAAGCTATTACCCTACACTTTGCTCCCTTAAACGCTTAGGGATGCTGAACTCGTTCTTACTGTGAAGACGCGCCTCAGCGAAAAGTGTACATTTGGCTGAAAACAATTAAGAAGTATTAAAAACAATAACTTCAATGAATGGGAATAGTCGTTTTCATCGTTTATTCTCGAAGACGATCGATACACTTATTTAATCTAAGCAAATGTGTGTTTGTGTATATGCATGTGTATATTCGAACTTGAATTGTGATTTTACAAAACGTTGGAGGAAAACTGATCCACATTTTTTTGTGATGTTTTCCAAGCATTTTGAGTAAAGTCTACTTCTGAACGCACGCACTTAAGTTATCACCAATTAAGCCGAATGTGTGCGTGGCATGAGAAAAGGAGAGATAAGAGTACACCCTTAAACAACCCGTATTCGTGTGAGGTCCCGAGCATCAAAGATTTACATTGTTTCCTCTTCTTTGCTTAATTGAAACGCCGCTGTTGAGATGTTAGAAAGTGAAATGTTACAGTCAGGTAGCTTAAAACTTCCGTTAGCAGCCCAATGACAACTTTTATACGCAAAGCGTTCTTTTTCGATGGTCGGGTGCAGAAAATAGACCCCAATTCGGACACCTAAACGAAATGTAATAGTTCGTTGTTAGCGTCGACGGAGTACTGAGTGGCGCTTTCGTATAAAACAGATCTAAATTGAGTTTCTAAAAATATCGAAATTCAGCAATGACACAATCTTCAGCCAATCTTCGCATCACGACTCGAATTAATTGAGGTAAATGCAGTACGAAAATAAATATAAACTCAAGCAAGTACCACGTATGCGACTATGTAAGACGACAGCAAAAACAATAACAACAATACAACGGCTAAACAGGGCAGCCAAAACAATAGCAACAACAACAACCCATCAGCTAAACAGGTTGGCAGGCAGACTCAAGTTGACCGGTTGGTTTATAACCTTTTCGGTTATTTACATTATTTGGTTCCGATCGGCGATTGTCAACAACAAATCTGCGATAATAACAAAAATACCAAAACACACTTACACACACACACACATGTGAACACGTGCAGCTGAAGTCGTGGCAAAAGCGAACGAAAACTTGTTGCACGGCGAATAAATCGAGTGAAGTGTAAAAAGCAGTTATTTGTTGTTATGTGGCGGCGCCCGAGCTGGTTGCCGCATGCAACCATTTAGTGTTAATGCTGCAACCGACGGAGCCAGGAGCGACGGCGACGAGTTGAAGCAACGGAATGACGAAGTAAACAACATTGCAACCGAAAACGGCCAAACGCACAAAAATAGTGGGATTGGTTTATTTTTAGAATCGCTAATAACGACAACAACAAACGTCAGCAGCGCCACGGAGTCATCGATAAACAATAATTACTAACTAGTTGCGGATAAACAACAATTTCAGGCGATTACAACTTCAAGTCGCTGCTGGCGCGATGGTGCGAGCGTGTATGCGCGGCAAAAGTGCAGCAACAACAACCGCAGAGCAATTACTAGCAATCAATCTCGCGCACCCATATATAAACAACATCAGAGCCGAACTGTTTCACGGCACGGTGGGTCCAAACACGCTTCCGCCCGATCTAAAATTTATTCAGCGCTTCGATGTCAGAAAAGAACGAGCTTGCTTCTTTTCATTGGTGGTGCGTGTGTCGATGTTATATAGTACTACAAGAGGAGAACTCTTCAAAGTTGAAGTAATGTCGTGTGGCTAATGCAGTTTTTGCGAACCTTTTTCTTTTCTGTTAAACGAAGTAATAATAGTTTTGGCTGTGTGACTGAGGCGCTGTGGTTATCTGAAAACACTGTGCATTTGAGCGTTTCCACTGAAAAATATGATTAACGGCGACTGCGACTGCGGCTGCGGCTGGTTGAGTTCCACAAACAAACGGCTCAAGCGGGCTCTGGCTGTTAGCTTAAAACTTCGGTCGGCGGCTGTGGTCGCCTCGTTTGACTGCTTCGCCTGCTGCACGTAAGCCTGACGGGTTGGTTGCTCGGATGACTGGTTGCTAACTGGCCACTCAAATCACAGCCGCCACCCAACAAATACAAAAGCGCAAGTTGAGCTCATTTCGTAAGCGTCAATTCGATTGATTGCAGTAGCCTACGGTATGATGGATCGTTGGAGCTTCCTAGCCGGAGAACTTAGATAAGCCCCTCTTTATGTTTTATAATATGAGTTTGCAGAACTGACGTGGATGGTTTGGGAAAACTCTTGATGCCACATGATGGCGTCCAAAGCAGTAGGTTTACGGGCATGAGTCTGCCAGGTGCCACTGATATTATTGTTGCTGTTGTATACTTGCAAGTGCAGTGTAAATATATTGCAACATCAACTCGAATATCGTGCTTTCAACGACGTGCTCAGCTCAGCTGGAACTGGTCCGCCTCGTCGACCACAAAGCACCTCTGGCTATTTTTATTTTTGGAAGTGGCATTTGGCAATTTGTTTACGAATACTATTTTCGCATTGCCAATTATTCGCTGTTGCATGTAGATACGAGCTGCGCACCGTCTGTCTTCTTTTCCTGTTGCTAAGCGAGGCTTTAGGCGCACAGCGCGCGTTTTGCGAGCGAGGCGAATTGTGAGTGCAGTTTGGCTTTGTTTTGGGTGCCGAAGTCCCACTTGTATGTTTGAGTGAGTGCATTGCCAACGCATGCAACAGTTAGCGGTCTGTGTGTTGGCCGTTACGACAGTCAACGACAGCGGTTTCGTGAGTGCAAGAGATCGTCTCTTTCATGCTTCTGCTCGGACTACACTTCGCGCGCAGTTGCATGGTCGGGACATGTTTTAGTTTGACATTCGTTTATAGGTTAAGTAAATAAAATAATATACACACTGGCAGCGGCACCAAGCGAAAATCCCGTAAACAAGCTCTCATACATTTTACCAAGAACTGGAAAATTATGTTAAAAAATTCAATAAATCTCTCTAAACTTATTCCCTTGCGACGGTTTCCATGTCTATATGGAATTCCATAATGCCCTTGAAATTACTAGTGCTCCAGTTCTACACAATTTATAGCTTTGAATGTCGTATTATTCCAAAATTCCTTACAGATTTCGTGGCCTACATTTTCAGCGAAGGTCTGTACTCTGGTGTGATTTCCCTGCTGTCTAGGCAACAGGCAATAGAAGGTTAGGTTAACTTAGTTTAGTTGGCTGATCAAAGATCGCACGTGGACTGGTAAATGTTGTCTTTTGGGAAGGCATAGGAAATAAGAAATTCCTGTGTTCGGGCTTACAGATTGGCAAAACGCTTAGGACCCTCCCTCTAGTTCGGTGGGATGTCTGGGAATTGACAAACGCGGGACAATCAAGAAGGAAATGCCAAGTTATTTCTACCGCATCTTCTTCCAAACAGCGTCCGGTAAGATTCCCAATCTTACAGCATGTATGCCAATAGGGCAATGGCCTGTTAAGAGCCCCACAACTAGTGTGACGCTAGCCTTACTGAGGGCAAAGAGATCGCTAGTGGGCCAAAAGGCTTTTGCGATTGTGCAAGTACCTATAGTGGTCCAGGGTTGGTCAAGCTTCCGCGAGGCCCAGATATCCCATTCTACCGAAAATGATATAACGTTCCTTTCCTTGCTAGCTCAGTCTTATCACAAAGACACACGATGCTAATGATACCGAGGTTGGACACTCTTCGACCAACTCTGAACGTACTGTTAATGAGAACAAGGCTAAAATCGCGTCCTGCTATCTAAATGATTAGTCACTTCTCGAAAGGAGGACGCACGCCGGAGCAGCTACCTTGATGGCTGCAACCTCAGCCTAGAAGACACTGTAATAGTCAGAAGGTCTGAAACTGGAGTTGATAGAGAGCTCCCGACAGTAAACTAAACCAACCCTTCCTCCAAGCTTTGACCCATCCGTAAAGAAGCTCGCTGCCTCTGCCCCTCTGCTCCAAACACTTCTGCAGACCCATAGGCAATAGAAAGATATAGAAATTGTTGACGAGTCTACGAAACTAGACTACAGATGCATTCCTTCATCCGTTGGGTATTAGTTAATGCGCAGCCAGAGAAGCCGAAAATGAATTCAAATAACTTGCAACTATCGATATACTCAGAGATTATATGCATATTGCATGTATAGTGCAAACATATGTACATATAAAGTATTTACATATAATTTATATTTCAAAATCACGAACAACAAATGCGCCCCTATGCACCTAAGCGCATTTGATAAGTCTTTTTACTGATATGCTTTTGCTGAGCTTGTTGACAGCGCGCAATGTTGCGCATGCGCAATTCATATTTGTTTTTCGTAGCTAATTTATGCGCGCTTATTCAAGCGTTTCCAGCCCACAGCATGTCGGAGGTGTGACGGCAGGCTGGGCGACTAAGCGAAGTGTCATTTAACAGGGCTGACTGGAGAAAATGGCGGTGTGAAGTGGCGGAGTGAACTCGTTGCTGTGTTTTTGTTATCGCTTGCCGAGCGTTGAATTATTTTTGTTTTTACATTCCGAATGCGCAGCAAGAGATAATTCATATAAAACCGTATATGCCAAGAGACACGGCAAAAAACGGTTGTTCGACATTAGCCGAGAGACGGAGGATTGGGTGCATTCATTGCTAATTGTTCACTACTCGCTTTGGAATTCCTACAACAAAATACAACAATAGAGTTTATATGTACGTATGTCAACTGTCTTTAAATCTAAGATTTATCAAAACTAAGCCCAGTGGGCCTATAAATAGGTTTACGAACTATTGATGCATTATCCCGCCAAGCTTGAGAAGCAGAGGAATGACGTTAGAAGACACTGCTTAATCAAATATGTACACCCAAATATAGACCTCTCTAATCAAGCCAAAGCGTCGAACACCAATTCTAGCTTACTTTAGTTAAAATGGTAGTTTGCTAAACCTTGAAGCAAACTCCCACAACACGTGGATGGGCTTTATTGAAAAGTTGACTTCTAGGAAAACCGGTTTAACCCTACGCTTCGCCTAGCAGCAGCCAATTTCTTCCCGCGAAAATAGATTTTTATATGATTAATTTTTAATTGTCCATTGTAACATATAAAAGCTCTCTGCATATCACATTCATGATGATCAACAACGTTCTCTCTCTTTTATCGGTCCCACTCCGCCCGTTGACTTTAACACTCGCTCGCATCCCACATTTGACGTTCAGACTACACACGGACCCAAACAGTGCTCCCCCGCCTGCGCGCACTTGATGATGAAGCCAGCAATGGGTTGATCGTTGTCAATATAATTATCTCTCGTCGAAGATGCAAAACATGACTTACTCGTACGAACGTGATGGAAATAATGAAGTTACTCAAGACAGAATCAGTCGCACTATGCATGCGAACGACTACACACAGGCACCCCTATAGCATCGTACAGCAGTTTATTTTAATATTTACTTAAATTTACCTTTGCGGATTTGCGAGCATATGCATACATACATGTACATATGTACCGAAGAGTGAGTGTGCGAGTAGGAACACGAGTTTACGAGTTGTTGGTAATATAGTACGATGGAAAACGGCCAACATTTGTGATCGTCGCTAAGGTGAGCTCAGTTGGAATCTGATATTCGGCGCGAGCGAACGTTGAGCGGAGGCGAAACACGTTGACGACGAACGTAACAACGGCGAATCGTCTCAACCACGATTCCGGCTTTCAACGGTTGGAAACGAATCAGACCGAAAAATTTCCAAGCAATTTGTGTTATTAAATTATGGCTTTTTGGCCACACGGCAAATGAGCAAATTACAATACGAGGCAGTTAACTGTTCAAAGCGCGAAATTGGCAAAATGTTACGATAAAGTGATCTTTGTTATGCGAGGCGCCTATTTTCAATGTTAGGGCGTGTATGAGAATTCATTTGTGTGCGAATCGGAACATTTTTGTGCGTTTGTCGAAGCTGCCAGTGGCTAATCGTGACCATTGCGGGCCCCGCTTTTGGTGTGTTTTTTTCGAAGTGGATTATGTGAAAGCTGTTGGCTCTTTCGAATAGTCAAATAGTGTTTGTTCGGAATAAACGATAATGACAAAATGCAAATTAAACGCAAAAGCTGCCAAACTCATATTGGCCATGCAAATTAACAGTAACCACCAACCACCGCAACAACAACTGCACCGACGAGTTTTGCATTTTTGATTTGAATTAAAAATATTTCCAAAGCGAAGTTCCACCAAAACAAAAAACAACAAAAAAAAAAAAAAAAAAAAAAAAAAAAAAAAAAAAAAAAAAAAAAAAAAAAAAAAAAAAAAAAAAAAAAACATTAGTGCAAACGCGTTTTGCTGCGAAAAATTTAAATTAAAAATTTGCAATTTTAATTAATTAACAAAACCGTAAAGTAACAAAGACGAAAATAGGGTAGAGCAGCTGAGCCTAGGCGAATTTTAAGGCATGCTGATGCATCCATGATAAAAAGTCAGAAGTATAGCAGTGATAAAGCAAAATAAATCGATAAAAAAATAAAGTAGTGAGGCAAAAACAATAAAATCATATATAAGCGAGGTGAACGCGAAAGAGGCTTATAAATAGCAAAATGGTCACTTCATGCCTTCTGCTGAGCGACAGCTGCGACTATCCCAACAACAACGGCGCTGTCAAAGTCCGAGTGTGCAGTAGCGGCGTCGACGAGCAAAAAAGCGATAAATTCACCGATAAATGCGCTATTGATACACACCAGCGAAATAAGTCAGATTGTGAAATGAGAAATAAAATAAATTTGACCAGTCTTCGTGTTCCATTGATGGGCCTTTTGTTATTGTTGGTCATGGTCAGCGCGCTTGCTAGCGCGGAGGGGGCCGCAGTCTACTCGAGTAAGTGTGTTTACAACATTTCCAAGAAAACCAGAAATTTATTTACGCAAGCCCACACCCAAATCTATAAACATATGAAAATATAGTAAATATTAAAAGTAGCCATTGTCTTGCACGGTCAGAGCGGAACAGATGCCAACTAAAAGAACTGCCTCTACAGCTTCTTCAACGCCTCAGCAGATTCATTTTGAACGCAAGTGTTGCATAATTCGCTTGCAGACAATGAGGTCACCTTCATTATTTGCAATATAACTTCTCATTTATGCAATAGGATTAGTCTGCTGAGCTATTCAAAAGCCAAAAAGAATTTAAATCAAGTGCTAGGCCTCGACCTTCACTTGTAGAAGTTAACCAACGCCTTTAGCGATATTTATTATACAGTTATTGTCCAATTTAATTATGATTTCTTGGGAATATTTTGTTTATTCGTTTCATATTGCTCATGAGTTGGTGTGTCTGGTGGTGTGTCTCCGCAACCGGTTCGCACCATGCTAGGCTGACAATTACGCAGCGACGACAACGGCAACAACAAACGACACGTCGCAAACAACAATGACAACAAAGGCAGCAAAAGCAACGAATTGACCGCAATTGACCGCCAATTCGCAGCAGACAAGTGGGCATTAATTTCGCTATTGAATATCGAAAGCACACGTAGAGCGTAGCATTTCTCTAGTGTTTATTTTTGAGTGCTGTGTAAATGTGATTTTTCCGCGTTGAAAAGCGGGGGAGAAGCTACGGTGTCCTGAGTTGATTGCATTCGAGAAAAGTGTATTGACCTTCGACGCTGCGACGCCAACGATCAGCTGTCTGCTTTGTATGCCCCCTTGTCACTTCCGCTCTTCCGAGATGCTCACTCGCCCAGCATTTAACCACATATTCAATGCGCATGTATGTGTGTGCCCAAAAACCACAAACACCGCGTGAAATCCAAGACCAAATACCGTTTTAATAAGTTGGTTGAGAAATCAACGTGGACCCGCGTCAAAAAATGGGGTCCAAACTATTTAATAGCCGAGTTTCGTTGCAAGCCGCGTGCGTCGCCAATCCGCCCAGTATCGACATTCTACAAAGCGTACAGGCGCTCCTCAGCATATCAAATCAATTGGCTCTGCTTATGGTTGTCATGTAGTTGCTTCCAATTGTGACGGCGCTTAAGTTCGTACATCGGCAATATGTGCCGCCAGCCGCCATACAGCGATCCACATACACACATCTATATTCATATAGTGTAAATAATGTACGGACGTAAGTGTGCCCTCGACGTAACTTGCAACGTCTGCTGCAACTTGTCTTACATACTTCTCAGTTCACGCTTCTGTTATGCACGAGTGAGTGCCGTTGGAACGGTTAAATATTTACTGTAATTGCAATTATCAATTCATTATACCTTCCGCACTTGCACTGCACCTCCCCTTTCCACAAATACCGAATTTCTTTTGAATAATTCATTCGAAGTATTATTAGACGGCATGGGGGCGCAGCTTGAGAATCGCTGTCGTATGCTTCTTCTTCATCATCTTCTAAATATGTATATTGTTCCATTGGCAATTCGTGTGAAATGCAATTAAAGAAGCAACAACACGACAATAAAGCAAACAAAAAAAAAACCTTATTGCACCTTTCTATTGAACTCAATTAGTTGGACTTCGCTACCAACACACACACTTACTCATATAGGGTGTATGATTTCGAATTTTTAGAACAGCACTTCACGTCCATCCGAGCGGAGATATAATAATTTCGAATTTATCAACGCGATCTAGGCAGACGGTTCAAGTGTGTGCGGTGCACAGAGATTGGAATAATTCATAAACATATTCTAACGGTATAATGAATCGAGCAAGTCCACATTTAGACTCAACGTCTTCTACGCTCTTCATTAGAGGTCAAGGTCCTCTCTCACAGGCATTAGCCAGCAGTAATGAGAGGCGCAGCGCATTTTCGCCTTGAACTTTTAAATTAATGACTTTTCGAAATTCACAATTTAACTTGAAACACGAAGTTCAGAATTGGAATATAATAGTTGTTCACGTGCACTAATTACAAGTTATATAAATTTATTCAGTGTTATCAATTGTAATGCTGCGCTTGATTAATGGCCGGTAGGAGGTGGAGCTATGATATTCGAAAATGCGCTTTGCGAAACACCTGCGGGAGAGTTACTTGCAAATAATTAAGAAAATCATAACTTAGTTTAGTGTCCTTGGCTATCGGAGGCTTGGCTAGAGGTTAATGAGGTTGAGAAGCGTGGTGGGGGTCGACATTAATTTACAACTAAGCCCATGGGGCCAAAGTTAGCCCTGAAGTTAACTGAATGTACTTGGGATGTTTTCAATTATTTAGAGATCACTCTCATTCAGAAGAGCTAGAATGCGGCTTGAGGACCACGGTAGCTTGTAGATTGGCAACTTCGCTATTTAGGATTATGGATCTGGTCTTTTGACAGCCACCGAATTCGTTTCCGTGGCGTGCAAAACATTGATATTAATTGCAAAATAAACGAGTGTAACTGTTGCTTCATGGTGTTCAAGTGTGTGTATGTGTTTAAGTATCACTGGCAGAACAGTGCACCAAAGCAGAAGCACCGTACGGTGGTGTTACGCGCATGCGCAGCTGATTTATGCGTCCACTAGAGCGCCAACTCGGCACGCCTGTTTGATCTCGCTTTATGATAACCGCCGTTCGGAGTTGGGAGTTGGATGCTCGGAGGCAGTTTCCGCACACCCCTCGCATGTTTTTTGTGGCATTTGGCAACATCGCTGCATATTTATGAGTGCCGTTGGTAGCCGTGTCGGCGGCTATTGCCGTTAGCATCTTGCGTGCCACAACGATATTCTTGCAGCACGAAGCGGCGACAAAGAACACGTCTGCATGTATAATTGCAACGGCAGTCGCAGCGGTAAATGTGCGCTCTGCAGCCGCCTTCTCGCCTCGTCTAGTCTAGTCTGGAAAGGTGTTCTTTCCGTTGCTGCGTGGCAAGATTATTTATTCATTATTGTTTTTCCGGTTGCCGGCCGCATGGCTACTTAGCTAACTGCACTCGAAGATAACTGGGCACGTTGTTGTGTTGTTGCTTGTGGCGTGCAACTTGCACACTTCACGGCTTGACGCACTCACGAAGTCGAGAATTCTCAACGCCATGCACCTGTCACTTCCCACAGAGGTGGCTCAGTGGCTCAGATCTTGCTGACAAATGCTCACTATTTTGTGTGTGTGAACTACACGTTCATACATTTTGGCAGCGTTTTTTCCTCTTTATTTATGCCACTGACAGCTAACAGGAGTTTAACTGCTTTCATTAGAAAGTTGACGGGTCAACACATTTGTCGCTTATTGCAGATGGCGAACGCAAAAAAATAATACAAATATTTATACAAAGCAAAGTACAAACTTACTCACTTCACCTATTTTTCTTGCGCAGCAATGCAATACTCGGCCAAACTGTTGGTTCGCTGTTAGCAGCAAATGGTCGTCATTTATAACTTGACTTGTTGAGTAGATCACAAAGTGTGATTAGTCGGTTTAGGTGTCTTCGGTGCTAGTTGCAACTATGATTTAGCCTTTTTTTGAACTTTTGAGATGTGATCCACTGACCTAGTGACTCACGAGTAGTAATTTTTTCTAATTTAAAAAACACATGGCTTAAAATGATTATACAGCGTTTGTTCGGAAAGTAATAGGACTGATTTTCTTCCGACGCACCGACTGGATTCCTAGCTAAGTTGTCTCCGAGCACCTGAAGAGTCAGGACAGCCTAGAAGTGGACACCGGACTGTTTTTGTTTCCTTGGCTGTAAAAGCCGATGAACGGCGATCCAAGCAGCGTGCACCTCGGCTCTTAAGGCAATTCCGGGAAATGCCTTCCGTGACGCCCATCGACGAATAAGGAACATATTTTGAAAGTCTTTACAGAATTGTAACGATTGGTTCAATATATTTTTTAAATCGACTTGTTCCTATTATTTTGCGGACAAACCCTGTAAGAGAAAATGAGAAAAAGAAGTTTGACGTTTTGAGACCTGGGAGAAAAATGATGCTCTCAAAAGTACTAATGCTCCAGTATCGTCCGCTCCCACAAATATGACAACTATAAGAAACAACTTACAACTATATAAAAATATAAGTTTGAAGAAGGGAAGAATTCTTGGCTTTTCGATCAAAAAAAATAATTGCTTTAACCTGGTATCTGTGAAAGTTTTTTGCTAGAAAGTTGGTTTGAAAATGATGGAACTCTCGTAGCCGACCACACATACAATCGTATGTCAGCTTTGGTATGTGTGTCAGCGCCGGCAAAAGTGCGGCTGAGTTTGTTCAACCCATTTCACTAACAAACGACTGCATCGCAGAACACGGCCAACCGACAAGCGGTGCATGACTAGCTAATGGAGGCACTAAAAGGTTGAGTGCACAAAGCGCCATCGGTTCGGGATTGTAGGACTGGAGCAGTTAACTTCACAAAAGAGGCGCACAAATAATTTGAAGTGTGTATGTATGTTTGGAGGCACAATGGAAAGTAATAGTTTGAACCCAGAAATAAGCAAAACTGCAGATCAATTATGTATTGTTGATTTGCTGAATGAATGCTTCTACGCCTGCGATTGGTACCTCGATGCTTTTATATGTGCATCTGGAAGGGCAGGGCAGCGGAGATGCTTAGGCCAACATTTTCACAACCTACTTACGGGCTTAATGATCGCTAACCGAGTGAATATTTACGTTTTTTAAGTAAACTGTTCGTGAACAAAAGTCGAAACGTTCCAACAACAACAAAAGCAACGGCTATCGGCGGTGGTGAGCTGTAATATTGTGGCATTTGGTGAAGTGTAGACCGATTAGCACACACACACCCACATGTCGATAGTATATGTCCATATGCATCTCTGTGTGTATGTGCGTAGTTATGGCGATGAGTCGAACCGCAACCTTGTCGGAAAATTGCTTAATGCTTCTAAAGCCAACCGATGAAAATAGCTTCAATGCGCTCGTCTATTAAGCAAG